CCCCAAAACCCCAAAACCCCACTAGTTTAAATATTTGATCTTTTTGAAATTTAAGTTATAAAATTTTCTATAAAACAAATAAATTAATTATAGTATAAACATGAAAGGAGAACGTACACACTAAAGATTTGGTATTAATACAAATAAATCTATTAGATACAACATAAGTGAATACACTGCCAAGTAGTTTGAGTAGGAAATCGAGGATGAAATAGTTTCAAAGCTTAAATTAATACAATAAGCTGAAGATAATGAGGAATAATGGGAATTAAAAGTAGCGATTTGTGATTTGTGTAAATAGCAGATGGTCTTGATGAGAGAGTATCATGAATATTCAGAAAATTAAAAGAAATTGAAAGCCTTAAAATCTAAATAAGCTTATGAAAAGCAAGATTTTGACAAGAAATTATATGGAGGTTAATGTAGAAATTGCGTCGAATATGTCAAAATTTAAAGGAAAGAGTTATAGGAGGAAGTTGATAAATCAGAGAGAAAACTTATGTCAAGAGTTGGAAAAACTTAGTAAAAAATATCACGAACGGATTCTGATGAAAAAGTAACGAAGAAAAAGCTAAATTACAAAAAAATAACGTATAAAAACAGGCAAAAATTATAATTAGAATCAGATTATAAGGAGGGAGTTTTAAGATAAGAAAAAATAAATTTTTTTCGAAATAAGGAAATTGAAAATGGACAGAAGTAAAGAATGCTCGAATACTATCAAGATAAAATAGATATTCAAGATTTATGGAAATAAGGATTAGAGCATTATAGGAAATAAAGAAATCTTGCCGATGTTAAAAATTAGAAAGGATCTTATAAGAAGAAATCATATAATGATGACTTTTACAACAAATAATTATATGAAAGAGAGATAAATTGTAACAAAAATATGATTAGGAAATAAATTAATGAGGATATTTTGTATTATAATGAAGGAAAGTATTAGGATTGATATAATTTTTAAGATAGGTTAATAAGCATTTTCTTTTTAAATCTCAAATTCATATATTTTACTCATTTGGGGTTTTGGGGTTTTGGGGTTTTGGGG